ATGAACACCATGGAAGCATATCATCAACCATGACATCTGTACATTTGTCAATACACAAACAGAAGTACAGACTTCAACCTGTACACTGCACTTTCTGTTTATGTTTTCAACAAAGATGTTCATTTGATGCCAGAAGAAAAGTAATCTAACCCATTTGGGCTACTAATCCTTCAAACACAGTCCAACAGGTTGATGCGTCAGGTCATGTTCTGGTTACTAAGCTGGAAATGAAGCCCCTCCATCTGTCATAATGTACATAGCTTAAATCTGTCTGGCTTAATTTCATGGTTGAAAAACTGTCACAATAGTAACAATCTAATTTTCCTTCATAGTCTGGGTCGATGATGATATAGAACAGAGCAGTTAAAGGTAAATTCAGATGTGTTCATTCTTATATTTGCAGGCTGAAATAGCAACTCAAATGCCAAGAACTGATCCACTGCTGAGTCAGTGGAAACTCAGCATGTTAAAGTGACAAAGACACATCATACATGTTTGCATGGCTTAGTAAAAATGTGAGCTGCATGTTGGAGAAGATCTAATCCATGACTTTCAATGGACAGGAGTTGGTTATAAAATCTAGTTCCCTGATCTCTATCCAGTGGGTCAAACATGCAAAGAAAACTCATGGTCAAAGTTCACACACAACCATTAACCGGTCTGAACATCTCTTAGTCTCTTTTCCACTTTGTTCTTGCTGGTCTAAAAAGCATCCACCACCCAGAGCCACCAACATCTCAGTTGACAGAAAAATTATCTGACGAAAACTCAATTAAAAAGCATGGTTTGTTGGACATTTGTGTCTGCAATAAGTCCTGGGTGGAAACACGGTAGGCAGCCTGTGGCAGTAAACAGAGAACTTCTCTGTGATTTTTGTCAGTGGCAGCAAGATAAACAATAAGACTGCTGCAAAGCCCAGACAGCTGGGCTCATGCCTGAACAGCTGAAATAATCAAGCCTTTATTTGGAGCAATATTATATTGGAGAAGTGGCTCATTTTGAAATCCAAAATTTTTATTCAAACAATGACAAAATACAGAAAGATGATCAGTTTCTCTGAAATGGCTGAAAATGGATTTATACCAGCACCACCCAGTGCATAACAAATGTAGTTATTCCTCATCCAGTAAGCTAATCAAATTTGAGTTATCATGTTCAACACAGTTTGTAAGGACACATCACTGATCTGCAGATCCCACAGTAAACAGAGTCTGTGTCTTCAAACAAAACCAAATCTTTCCTTAGTTAGGAGCTCAGACTGTGCAGCAGCACGACTGTCAGTGCATGGATCCCACTAATCTCATAGACAGGAGTGTCTGTTGTCTAGATATAATCATCATCCACAGGTTCTCCTGGTGTATCACAGTGATGAAGGAAGAGGACCACCACTCTCTGAAATACTCCTCGTTTGCTCTGTCGGCGCTCTGAGATCTCTTCCCCGATGGTCTCCATGCAGATGTCAGCTGACAGCTGGCCTTTTCGCCGTGGGGCATAGATGGTGGCTACCAAACAACACAAAACCAGAGAAAACATTTTCAAGGGCTTCAATAATAAAAAGTGTGTACATTTAGAAAACTCCAACATTGAGAGCCTACTAGACCGAGTGCACTCACTGCTTTCATCATCCTCAAAGTCATAGCGGGCATAGCTGTTGGGATCAGCTGCTCTCAGTGTTCTCAGCCAGGGGAAGTCAGTTATCATGCTGTAGGGAGCACCATCTACCATTCCTGAACATGACAAGAGACAATGATGTCAAGGAAGAATCTTGAACTTATGTCTCCAGACTTGGTGTTCTGTTAAGATATCAACTTGTCAGTTCACACAGGTGCACTGCATGTTAAAATTAACATACCATCATGCCCTGTGGCATATATAAAAATACTGGGCATGGCTAGCTGATTCTGAATCAAGACGGAGGACGAAAATGTAGTGTCAAATGCTATTATAATAATAATGGCTTGAATTTATAGAGCGCCTTTCACGGGACCCAATGATGCTTTAAATAAGTTTGTGAGGACAAGACAGAAGAGAAAAGAAAAAGTAATAATACAAAATAGGATAACATTTTACAGCAGGTTGGAGCATTAACTGAGGCAAAAGGCCTTAGTGAAGAGGTGGTGCTTGAGGAGTATTTTGAAGATTTCAGCAGATTAAGCATTGCGTATTTTGGCAGGGAGAGAGTTCCAGAGGGTGGGGGCTGTGACACTGAAGGCTCTGTCTCTGAAAGTTTGGAGTTTGGTGTATGGGATGGAGAGCAAACCTGAGTTTGATGATCGTAGCCTTCTGAGCGGAGTGTAGGGTTGGATGAGGTTGGTTAAATGCAGTGGGGCTAGGGCATGGAGGGATTTATAAGTGAGAAGGAGTAGTTTGGAGTTAATGCAGGCCTTTATAGGGAGCCAGTGGGGGTAAATGAGGTTCGGGGTGATGTGCTGCCAGGGCTTAGTGCTTAAAAGAAGGGGGCCTAGCACTGAGCCTTGTGGCACACCTTGGTTGCCTGGGGCTGTAGTGGAACTAGAGCCTTTGATGGTGATGAACATTTTCCTGTTGGAAAAGTAAGATTGGAACCAGGTGAGAGCTTTTCCAGTTAGGCCAAGGTGTTTGGATAGGCAATTGAGGAGGATGGTGTGGGAGACTGTGTCGAAGGCAGCAAAGAGGTGTGGCCAGAGTCAGTAGCAATGAGAAGGTCGTTGGTGATTTTGATATGGGCTGTCTCTGGTGCTCATGTGCTGGTAGAGTTGGGCAGCAACGGCTCTTTCCAGGATTTTGCTGAGGAAAGGAAGGTTGTAGATCGGGCGGTAGTTGTTGGGATCCTCTGGGTCCAGACCTGGCTTTTTCAGAATGGGTTTGACAGATTCCATTTTGAAGCTGGAGGGGACTGTGTCAGATTCCAATGAGATATTGAGACAAGCGGTAGCCTTGGCATTGGAGACTCATTTTGCTACTTGAAGAGCATCCACAGGTGCAAAGGAGTGGAGGCAGCATTGGGGCTGGTGTGGAAGGGCGCAGTGACCTGTGACGGCAATGCATGTGAAGCGGGTGGATTTCAGCTGTGAACCAGGGGGCTGGGCAGGTGTAGGAGACAGTTCGGGTTTTGAGGGGGGAGAGAGAGTCAAGACTGAGGGATAGAGCAGTGTTGTAGTGGGCAACCAGGCCATCAGCCATGGTGCTTGGGGGATCCGAGGCCAGGTGTAAAGCCAGTAGGATTGCCAGAGCTGGTGAAGTCACTGTCTTGGTGTTCCTAAAGGTGATGGTGCGTTTTGCGTGCTGTCTGGGCAGGGGGATAAGGACTGTAAAAAGGATGGCATGATGGTCAGAGATCGCCAGGTCAAGGCACTGCAGCTGGGAGAGGGTTGGGCCAGTGGAGGATACCAGATCCAGTGTGTGACCTTTGGCATGGGTGGGACCTTGAACATGTTGTGTGATGTTGAAGCAGTCCAGGAGTGACAGGAATTCAGTAGCCAGGGTGCAGTTGGTGGAGTCGACATTAATATTGAAGTCACCAAGCAGTAATGTAGATGGAGACATGGAGCAAACGGGGGTGAGTAGCTCTGATTGCTCAGACATGAAGGTCCACCTTCATGTGACCAATGAAAGGTTTCAGGTATCTTACCTCTGTGGGTCTGTACCCGTGTTGTGAGTCATTATGTTAAACAAGCAGGTTGATGTGGTTAGGGTAAACAACCTTTTGATGTGATGTGTTGCTAGGCTTGAAATGTACATGAGTTTTGTTTCTTTTCAAGGTTTTTATGAAAGCCCAGTTTGGGTAGCCACAGGTTTTAAGTGCTTCCTTGATGTGTTGTTCCTTCACTCTGTCCTTGTTGGTATGTCTTGTGCACAGTAGTGTAAGGTTCTGATGACTCCCAGCTTGTGTTCTAGTGGGTAATGTGAGTCAAATAGTAAGTATTGATTTGTATGTTTTGGTTTACATTTCACTTCAATGTTGAGGCTTCTATCTTTTTTTTTTTTGACTCAGGTGTTGTATTGTAATGACTCACTCAATAGCATGGTAGGTCTACAACTTGCAGGTATCAACAGCCATTCACACCCTGACTCAGACTACCCACTGCCTGGTAGGGGGATCAACTACTTGCCTGTTTGACAAAAAGACTCTCACCACAGATACAGCCCTGCAGAGGCTGAATAGCTGAAACTCCCATTAGTCAGTTAGAACTGAAAAAGCCTCGGCTGCCAATTAAATCTGCACTTTAAAACAGTGTGTGGTTAATGTGTATGGGCATGACTCCATTACCCTCCAGTGTATAGATGTCCCTGCCCCAAGGGTATCTGGGATTCTTCTTGACATCTTCTTCTGTCCTGGTGGCCTCTGGGAAGAACTCATACTTAATTAACTCTCTGGGAGAAAGACAAAAAAAAACGCAGAGATCAGCTGATCGAGTCACAGATAACGTTCCAAATAACATTTGTCTCATACTCCAACAATGTATGATTTATGATACATTAATAATGAGATTGCATGCCATTAGATTGGTTGTTACAGATCTCTAAATGAAGAAGTAATTTTGTGGACGCTAGTAACGCACATCAGTATGATTCACTTAGTCAAACATGCTTCATCTGTCCATCTTGTGTGCTCATGCATCTTCCTAGTGCATTTATTTCACATCTGCATAGTGAAAGTGTTCATTTATGTATGCTTACCTAAGGAATTATACATCAAGTTAAAAGCGGTTATGTATTAGAAGTACTCACACTTAAGTACAGTACATTTGCACTATGTATCTTGACTGTAAGTTCAAACCCACAGCTGTAACATCACAGGCTTCAGTTTGTGGTGACTTTGTGGGCAATGTGTAAATTCTCAAAGGTGGAATTTTAATATAATGTTTTCTACTGAGAGCTCATTCTATTTTTCAGCCTCACTCTTCAGATGCACCTTGTGCATGTTAACAGTGCAACAACTGAACATCATAACCATCAGAAAAGTCCTTTTATGGCAGAGCAACCTAATTGGAGTGTATTTGATTGCATAGGAGTTCCAAATAAAGTGCAAATTGACAGTACCTATAGGAGAGAAAAATGAGTGGCTTCCCAGTGCCTTCCCAGTTAATGATAGAAGTTTAATGAGCTGGTGACAAGGGAAGCAGTTTCTGGTATCACTATGTACAATAGTAAAATTCCCTATGGATAGTAGAACCATTTCAATCTTTAATTACCATGATTATTGTGGTGATTTCTTCAATAACGTCCAGCATCAGCTGAAGTTGGCAAATCTCCAAGAAAAAGGCAGGAGTGAGTGGAAAGCAGGGAAGCTGCCACCAAATTGTGTTTAACAAAAGCTGATCTTTTGTCCTGACTTGAATAATTATTTATTAATAATTATTTACAACTTTAATAATTATTTATTAATAATTATTAAACCTTTATTGAAATAGGTAAGTCTCACTGAGATCAAGATATCATTTTCAAGGGAGAACTGAGTATGGAACAAAAGGGCCTTATTCAAAACCACACTGAAAAAAAAGTAATAATTGAAAAAAAGGCTGATAAAACTTCTGTTAATTCCATCATGGCAACTCATAATGTGACTCATTAGTGTGTATTAGTGAAACTTACCCTCAACCCGTCTAAAGTAAACAACTACAGACCTGTCTCTCTTCTTCCTTTTCTCTTTAAAGCACTCAAGTATAATATTTTTAATCCACTCTCCTCCTATGTTCACCAGAACAACGTTCTTGATCAGTCTGATTTCAAGGCAGGCCACTCAACTGAGACTACCCTTCTTGGCAAGAAGTTCTTGCTGTCTCTGAGCAACTTCACACTGCCAGAGCAGCCTCTCTCTGCCCTGTGGTTATCCTTCTGGACCTTTCTGCTGCATTTGACACAGTGAACCCCCAGATCCTTATTTCCTCCCTTCACGCTCCCTCCACTGGTTACCAGTGGCTTCCCGCATCTGCTTCAAGACACTAGTACTTGCGTACTGTGCTGCTAACAGATCGGGCCCATCTACATCCAGGACATAGGTAAACCGTACACCCCAGCCCATCCATTCCGCTGGGGACAAATGGGACCAAATTTAATTGAATAAACAGCTAGAAGAACTGTTCCAGTAGAAATGGGGTTGAATGCAAAATTAGGGGAGTTTGGTTAGCAGTATCACATTGTTGAGAAGACGACGTATTATTTAGTGAGGGGAAGTTTTCTCTTTATTTACTGTCAAAACAATCATGAATTATAGAGTCAGTGGTTAAAATTTAATTTTCAACACTCTCTTAACAATACAACCCCAACCTGTTATTGTGTCCACCTCACTTCACCAAGGACTGCTCCCTAGCTCACTGCTGGCTTTTCCAGACATTTTGTTCTGAAAAATTATGCAGTTCCAACTTTATGCCATTGGCACATACTGGGGATACAGGAAGGAGAGTCTGGAAAACAACCTGTGAGTTTTTATTAGCTGTGGATTTGTTAGGCTTGAAACAAACAATGTGACTAGCATAGAAAGCAGAGTTGTTGGATGTAGCTTGCTTGCTAACTGTGTAGACGGTGAATAAGAAAAAGCAGGGGGTGGGGGGGATTACTGGGTCATATTAAAACACCAACATTTGGAACAGAAAAGAGAAGAACATTACACAGCTTGTTGGACTTGACTTCACATAAAACTTTGAAACAACTAGACTGCAGTTGTATGTCTCCGCCAACCAGTGCAGTTTCTATGTATATATTTCTACATACTTCTTTCCAGATTCATATAAAGGTCACTGTCATTTTATCTTTGAGTACAAGTGAGAACTGATTGAAATTCCCTCAAGCAGTCTCGAGATATCACACTCAAGAGGCTAAAAAAAGTCCTGCGTATTCACGATGTCAAAACTGTTACACAGCAGGAGGTCCCAAGGGGGAGTCGGGCGCTCAGCACCATGCTTATCCTTGCTGGCTACAGTCCAGTGCTCCTGTTGGCAAGGGGTATCAAGGTATTCGTGGTACACCTTCCCAGGGGTGATTGCACCTTCTCTGGAGCATGGCATGGAATAGAGCTGGCTATTATTTTAGGCTTTGCTCCCATGGTCACCCAAGGATCATCAGGCTGTGCTGAAGCCACCGCGTGAGAGTAGGATCACCATCCATTCCTGGAGCGGAGCAGCCATAGAGATTAGGAATGGTTGCATTCAGGTGATTTCCGCAGCAAGAGGGTCTCAGGGACGCAAAGTGGTGAAGCCCAAGATCATTGAGCTCAGCCTTCAGAACGGCAATGCTTTCCGTAAACTTAGAGATGGTAAGATTGCTAAAACCTTAAAATCTCTCAGAGACTTAAATCCACAGTTAAGGTTGAAAAGCTGGCCAAGGTTTAAAGCAAGCCCAGCAGCCAAGTAACATCAACCATGTATGAATGGAGAATTTGTATTTAAAATCCAGACAATCAATGGCTTAAAATCCTTAATACCAGTACAATATATTATATAAAACATCCATAGTATAAGACGTGTACTGTAAAAACTAGTCAGTTTTAGATGAGTGGTTGACAGACCTGAAACACTGACACATGAGCAGTGATGTGAGGATGGGCATTGAACCCAAACTTTCTGATGTTTGTACTTAGCATAGCAACTTGTTAACCTATCTCCTCCACCCCTGCTCTGCTCGGAGAAACTTGACAGTAAATTATGTAAAAGGCAGAAGAGAATCACACTGAAACAAGCAGCATTCAGCATTATTATGACATTCTGACATGACTTATA